AGAGGGGGGGGGTATATGAATATTCTGCAATATACCGGAGGTTGGCTGAGAGTGCGGATGGCACGTGGCAACAGCCCCCCGCGTGGGGGACAGTTGATGGACTTTGTTGAAGGCCCTGGCCGCAGGCTGGTGAGTGCTGGTGTGTCCAGCCGCCGAGCGGGCCTTCCAGCATTGGCGAGCCAGTCAGACGCACCTCCACCGCCGCATCTGAGGCCACAGAGGTCCAGACAGAGCGACAGTCCGCTCACCTCACCTCCCGTCATAACGGCTTGCTGTCTCACCCTACGGCCGTGACCCGCATGGTCAGCGAATGTGCCAGCAGGGTGTCAGCAGGGCGTGGTGCCGCGAGAGAGACCAGAGGCCATGCCGTTCTGATGGAAGCTGGAAAATTACCAATGTTTACCCGATAAACCTGAGCGGATTGCGGGAGTGCAAACCAACCCTCTTGGGCAGCAGGGGTCATGGCCCATGGCACCTGACGGGTAGAGGGGGCAGGCAAACCCGTAACACTGCAGCATCCGCTCTAATATTTCTGTAAAAACTTGTTCAAATTTTTAGTGAGATTTTAGGACTTCAGAGGAAAAACAAAGGTAGGACTCGAAGGGTTTTAATGCCTTTGCAAAGGCATTCAAAATTAGAACCCTTGCAAAAGCATTAAAACTAACCAAAGGTGTGAAAATCTAATCCCTTTGGACACTTTTGTACCTTTTCAAAGGCATAAAAATTTACACCCTAGAAAGGCATTAAGTTCTACATTTGAGTTTCCAGTGTTACTTTGAATGTTTAACCATATCTAACTTGTCTCACCGAGAGCGGAAGAAAAATCTGTAGCAAACGCATATGACAACTTCAGGGATCACCATATCACACGTAAAACTCTTATGCATTGTATTGTGAATAAACATATGCAGAATTTCATACACCCACAAGTATGCACAAATTGTTTTCTTCATTATTTACAAATTGTGCATAATCACGCACAAACTGTAAAGGTATGCATAAAATTGTGCATTATGTTATTGCTGTATAAAATTCTGCATGTTTATGCACAACACAATTTAGTGTGTAAGTGGTTGAGTCAACATTATTCACATAGTTGTAAGAACCAAAAAATATAGTTTTGAGAACTTGGTGATTGTTGTCTCAACCACGGAATGGTAGCCCGTGAGCTATCCACACGATGGTTGTCACAGCTCTCGTCACAGCTGGTTGCCAATTTTGTTTCTGTTTTAAAATCCGTTTTGGTTGCGAAGTGTACGTTAGCGCTGATGCCTTTCTTCGTGCCCCTCAGGTTGCGCTGCCGCTGCACATTCGCCGCATCCACGTGATGAACGCCCCACCGGTCGCCATCGGCGCTCTCAACAAGTGTGTGCGGCCGTTCCTCCAGGACAAGATCAACCAAAGAGTGAGTGGCGCCCGGCGCCCCCGCCCCGCGCGCGCCGTACTCGTCCCCGTGCGGCGCTATGCGGCACTATGCAGCGCGATGTGATCTCAGTTGGGGCCGAGGTGTGCCGAGGGGTGTGGAAACAGCGCGGTCATACGCAATGCACCTGCAAAACGAAGTGCCCTTTTCAACTGGATTGAGCGATTTTCAATCAAGCGTTAAGTTACACCCAGGGACGCTTGTCCTTCATTTTTTCAAAGTTCTTGGAGAACTTAAGAAAAATGTGCTTGTTTTAGTTACGAGCAGAATTTTCACAAAACAAGAACAATATTCTTAAATTCAGCAAGAATATTGGATTGGAATATCAAGAATAAGCTTCTCTGGGTCTAGTCAAGTCATATAAGACTCCTAATTGTCGGGAAACCAAAATAATTCCCGGAACTGAAGGGGGATAAATATTATTGCCGACTAAAGGAATAATGCAGTCTACTTGTTGAACTTGTACTCTTCATCCAAAATTGTTTCTTCCGAAATCTGTCCTTGTCCTCGTACTCTAACAAGCGATACTCTTATTTTATTTGTTGCTCTCTAGGGAAGGCATTGTGTTTGCACTCTATGATTCTCGTGGGGGTCTCTCACCAGAGGGAGACACGTCTAACAAAGTAGATCGTAACATCAAAACTAACGTTTCGGTAGAGTGTAAACTTCTGAAAGGGTAAGGGCGATTCAGTTGTTCTCAATATCGTTCTCAATTACAGCCCAAGGTGCATTAGTGGCCCCCGATGGTCGAACACCGGCGGGTCTTCGTCGGTAACTGGTGGCTACACCTGCAGCCGCTTGCAGCCGCCGGGAGAGAAAGGCGGCGGCAGGCTGACCAGCCGTACGGCTAGCCGTCGCCCTTGCAGAGTCCAATGCGGCGTCCGGCGTGGCATTCAGTCCACGGCGTGTCGGGACGGGGCTGGGGCTGGACGCGGCCGTCGCGACGCCCACGGTGATTTGGGTTGCCTACACTGGCCGGGGCAGCTCGACTGGAGTGAGCAAAGCGCGTGCGCCCCCTCCTCGCCTGGGAGTGGGGCGTCGAATGGGTTGCATCTCTCTAGGCGCGTGCAGTAGCACCCCTTCTCTCTCCCCCCCCCCCTGGCCCCCTTGCCACGACTCTCTTGTGATGCAGGCTAGCTGAGCGCGGGCTCGGGGCAGTAGGTGGTGAAAAGCAGCCGAGGCGAAGCGAAAACTAATCTGGGGTTCTGAGTTTCAAGCCTCTCATGTGAACCTGCCCTTGACAAGCGAAGGATAGGGGCGAGCGGAGAGAGAGAGAAAAGGGGTGGGGGGTTGGGGGAGGCCAGCCTCAGCCGCCGTCCACTAGCCAGCTAGTTGGGAGCTAGATAGTTTTACGGGACCTTAATGTGCAAGAAGCCAAAGAAGGTAGCGTCCCTCCGCCGAGTAAGCAGGGCAGGGGTCCAGGCTCCGGGCTGGTCCAACTCACCCATACCGGGCCACAAGTTGGCAAAGATCCAGCCAAAGCGGAATGATCTATTAATTTTCTTTGTGGCGACACGCACGCCAGCTCAGATACTTATTGCCAAAGATCCTAGGACACAATGTACAAAAAATAAATGGTTAAAAATGTAATTGTGTGCCTACTCTAAAAACACAAAAGTGTGAATGGTACACACTCGTAGGTGTGAGAGCACTGATAAACTAAGAGTGTAGCTGCTAGTTAAATACTTGCAAGTGTGCAACTCCGTTGTTGAGCAGTTCCTTATATTGAACTTCTCTGTGTAGGAAGTGCTCAAATGAGAAGTTGCACACTTTGCAAGTGCACACCTATCGAGTTGAACACTTGACGCCATTAGCAGACACGGGGGCACAAGTGTTTCAATTTCAAAGGAAAATTCAGAACTTTACTTGCTTAAGAGAACGGATGGGCGAAAGGACATTCACACTGGATGAACAAAGGAAGGCGGTCTTAATGACTCTTAAGGGGTATAAATTTAATACCTTTGTAAAAGCATTAAAACCCAGTGACTCCTACGTTTGTTTTACCAATGCCGACACGTGTCAGTGTGCGACAATCACACACTTTCGTTTGTAATGCATTGTTTCTGACGTTTCTGGTGTTCAGGCAAAAACCTAGGAATTGCTTATCACTTGATCCAATTCGCGGACAAGAAAGTGCTCATACTTACATGTTAAAGGGTTTGTCTGGTGCGAGAGGTTGGGTGGTAGACAACCCTTATGCAACGCTTTGCGCAACTTGGCTGTTGGCGGAACATAGAAAAACGCCTCCGCTACTCGGAGCACTATCATTATGGCGGCGCAGGGAGCAGCACCCCCTTCCCCTCGTCCTCTCCATCCCATTTCGCGCCAAAAGGAGAGCTTCGACGTGCTGACCACGCGAAGAAAACATTATACTTTATTCTGCCCCTTTTATTTGAACGGGTAAACATTTACCCAAGGCAACGTTGTAATCATATTACGCTTTTGTGTTCGCAGATCGTGACGCATGATAACCTTGAGTCGCTGTACAAATGTGTGCCCCGGGAATGCTTGCCTTCCGACCTGGGCGGCACCTTGCCGCACAACATGCGCGAATACACTCGTGAGTGCCTTGGTTATCTGAAGCTCATGGTGAATTCCTGTCCTGCTTGAATGCACTATAAAGGGACTCCTTTTCTGCAGTGATATGGGGCGACATGGCCGCAGCTGCAATGAAGTGGTTCCAGGATCGCCGTTGGATGAAAGCCGACCTGAGCAGCAAGCCAGACTGCAAGTTCAACACAGAGTTCGGCATCGACGGCTCCTTCCGAAAACTGGCTGTGGATTAATTAAGCGTTCCCATCGAGCTGTGCTTTACTGTGGAAAGTTCGATTCTTCTCCACCGACCCTTCAAAGAACTGTTAAAAGTGGGCGTTAAGAAACTGTGGAATGAATTTAGTTTGAGACCATTTTGATTTACAATACACCGATTGGGTGATGCGTTTTTATGGTTCCGCGTTCTCCTCCCCTCATGTCAGAGGGGCGTTTAACGGCCAAAAATATTCTGAAAAAATATTTCCGCATATGCGTGTTGGTAAAACAGTTAATTGTTGAATAGTAGTGTATGACTTTTTTTCAAGTATTGGAAGCTGCTTGGCGCAAAGTGCTCCTTGTGGCACTTTGATGTGATTTGAAAATGATATATACAAATTAAGAAAGGTTCCCAGATTAGAACCAAAGATAGAAAAAACCAAAGGGCCGTTTTGAAATCAAACATGCGGCTTCACAACGATGGATTATTGAAGTGTATTACTTTATGCAATTTCCCTTTCGGGCATTCACTCCACTTTTGCACTGCTGTCGCAAATCAATCATAATAATTTTTAGTTAAAGATGTCGTGAACGGCAGATATATTGTATAAGAGTTTTTTTTTGTATCACTATCGTACCTTGCACCGACTTTGCTAGAGATTGCCACCCCATTGTACGACTGCCGACAGCCAACCTGAGTGTTATGACGATCTCTCTTACTGCATGCAGGACATGCAACATTAATTCGAGTTGTCTAAAAAGAGAAGAATTACATCTGAATTTGTAGTGAGAAAAATATCTGGACTGTTAACATCAGATAGGGGAGTGACCCTTTCCCTAGATCATAAGATGTGTCCTGCACTGAACGGTACCCAGGTATTTAACTCTCTACGAATGGATGTATGTTTTGTGATGATTATGTGATGTTTATTTTACTCTCATTAAAGACAATTCCTTTTATTCGACATCTTGAGTTTTCAACTGCTCCACACCCTTTACAACCGTGGTGACACCTTCGATTTATCGGTTTTATCTTTATAAAAATCATGTGATGAATCTTTGTTTACATTTGAAGAGGGAGGCTTCAGAATAGCTATATGGCGAAAATTGGGGGTAAATTTATCACAAATACGGATTAGTGTCGGGTAAAAAGTTATCCTGGGACAAGTAACAGCACGTCAGCCCTAGTAACATAATGTTGTCGACCTACAGTCAACACGGAGTCGAAAATAGATTCCGATAATTTTGAAAATCTATGCTCTCTGAACAATCGGAATGGAAATGCAGTCGATATTTAAAACTAGAGATCATACCAATTCACGTCAAAGGTCAGTTTTCATGTAACAATGAGCCAGAAAACGATGAAAATTTTTCGGTATCTGTGTTATAGCTGTTCCAATAATCGAAAACCAATGATCGCACTAGACGGTTCTTAATCTTGAAATAATAAAA